TACAACAAAAGCTTTAATGGTTATCTCAATTTTGATAGATTTTGCCCAAAAAAAAAAATTCGATAGACAAATTATTTTCATGAGCCATCTTTCACTTTATGATATCTTAAACGACGGCAATTCTTAACTCTTTTCATATAGGTCATGCAAGTTGATATCTTATTTTTTATTTTTTCTTATGCTAGTAAACTAAAGGAATTCATTCACCTTCTAATAATTTTCTTTCTTTCTTCATTTTAATCAATTAAAATTTAAATTTTACAATGACCTTATTGAAATGCATGGTAAGGTGTCATCGGGATTTTGCGTTTAGTCTCGTACAATTTTATATTAAAATATTTTGATGTGATTTAAAATTTTCAAAAATGAATTTTCAAAAATTTTTAAGAATTTTTGAAAATAAACTTTCTAAAATTCATTTTCAAAAATCTTTAAAACTTTTTAAAAATTAATTTTAAAAAATTTATTTGAAAAAAATAATTAATTAATTTTATTTACAAAAAATTCAAAAACAAATTCGAGTTGTAAAGGAAAATTGGTGGGCGGCATTTAGTTTATTTGGATTCGGAACTGAAACAACCCACAAATGTATAAATTGAAAGCCCTATACCTAATTCCCCTCTCTTCTATTGTTTTTCAGACTCTCTCTCCCCTTAATCTCCCCCCTCCCCCCCCCCCCCCTTACCCCAAAGTAAGCCAAAGCCAACCGTTTCTCCAATTTCTAAGGAAAAAACAGAAAGGAAAAAGGAAAAATCTTTCCTCTTTTCTCAAAGAAAAATCCTTTTCTCCATCTATTTCTTTCGGTGTCCTTGTACGGTGAGACATGAAGAAACCACGAATTGGGTATTCCTTCCTGCACGTCACATGCTTAAACAACTGCACCAATAGCAGGATAGAAAAACAAAATCAACAGAGACAGCATCAAGAGCAACAACAACAGCAACAACTCCTTTAATGAAAAGAGTTTCTATGAACTTTCCTTGTCTGGTATTATCTCCCTTTGGTGTCTTGTTTTCATGTTCTACTCTAGACTTGGTCACAGCCATGAAAATGGAGGTAAAAAATAATTCTTGCTTGCTCTTTTCCTTATCTTTTTCCTTACTTTATGGTTTGTTTCTAGCAAACCCGTCTTTTCTTAATTTATTAAATAATAAAAGCCTTTAATTTTTTTCTCAAACAAGTCTTTAAATTCAAGATTTCCTTTTGTTATTTACCCAAGTGATTGATTGTACAGGATTAGAACATATATCCAAACAGAAAGCATTAATTGGAACTATAAAGATATTTCTCCTGTTAGCAGAGAAGCATTAAAAAAGGTTTAATCTGTTGCTTGCAAAGTGTATTTATGCTGAATTCACTTATATTGATGGCATATTGTGCAAGAATGGAGTTAAACTTACATCCTTGGGCACCAAAGATTGTCAAATTAAACTTTTATTGCCTTACCTATTAGGATGTTTTTACAAATTACGCCTCCTAATATTTGTATATATTCTTAGAACCGCCAGCTATGCTTATGCAATGTTTGCCTTTTTCTTTAGTGAGTTAGCTGCTAGCATAGAGGTGTTTTTTGTTCTTTATATAGAAAATTTGAGGCTAGAATAACCAATGAAAAGAACTTCATTTACTTGAGTATTACACTAAGTTGGTTAATATCACATTGACTTAAGCGTTTCTTTTTCAGGAAATTCACATCCTGAGAACCAATGCACATGTTCTCCTGGTGTTTGCCATGAAAAGCTTTGTAATGATGCGTATTCTGGTTATGCAAATAGAGGAGATAGTTTTACAATGCTGCCACAGCTTAATAAGTCAATGAGCTATAACAACTCTACTGCTTATTAGAAGTTTGTGAAGTAGGAGTCCACCCTCTGCGAAACAAATAGACCTGAAGAAGTGATTCTGTGAGTTTTGGGTTACGCGGCTTTTCTTTGTGATGTACATGAACAAGAGGGGCAGAATACAAGTAAACAAATGGAAAAACGCAATTGTAAAAGTCCTTCCATTTATCTCAACTTTTATGAATTCCGGAGCATAACAGGGCAAGCAAGAGAGGCAGATCCTCCTGGCAGACTAATTAACATCACTCATTGTCTTGAATCTGATGGTTCATAGTACAATTATGCTGAAAGGTGCTAAAGTGGTTGCGCATAACAAGGAAGCAAAAGGAGCAAACAACATTTTGGGAAAGGAATCCTTGTTCTGTGGAAGGAAAATTTATTGTGATTGAGCTGGCTGAAAAGACATTGGTTGATGCCGTCAAAATTGCTAATTTTGAACTCCATTCTTCAAACTTCAAAGAATGAGTTGTATGGTAGTTTGAATTATCCGACACATGACCCCCATTAGTAAAGTTGCTCCAAATGTCAAGAAAATTCAAACCTTTACACTGTCAGAACCAAAATGGCTTAGGTATTTGAAACTGAATCCATTCAGCCATTATGGGTTGGAGTTTTACTGCACGCTGGGTGTTGTAGAGGTATATGGTGTTGATGCAATTGAGAGGATGCTTGAAGATCTGTTTCTGCCATCTGAACAACATGTTCTCACAAAATTAGCAGAGTCTAATTCAACTGGGCCTTCTGTAAAACCAGATGTGCATTTCCATGATGGTAGAAGAAATGATGAGGCTCAAAATGAGGCTCAGAGTCAGACTACTGCTATAGCGATAGAAAATGCTGAGGATGTTCAATTGTTTAATGAAACAGTGACAAAGAATCCTTTGACAACAAGGAATACTGATCCTTTAACAGAAATTAAACAACTTCCAGTTGGCAGAATGCCTGGTGACACTGTTTTGAAGATTTTGATGCAGAAGGCGAGGTCTCTTGATTTGAACTTATCTGTTTTGAAAGAGTATATCAAAGAACTGAACCAAAGAGAAGGAGATGTTTTACCTGTGATCAATACAGAGTTATCAAGAATTCTGCTTTGGGAGAAAAGCAAAGCAGAAATAAAAGATATTATGTGGTGGAAAGAGACGACTTTACCGTACAATTTTGTTTAGTCTCTTTCTTCTACTTCTTCTTCTTCTTCTTCTTCTCCTTCTTCTCCTTCTTCTCTATCATCATCATCATCATTCTTATTGAAGAAAATAGTTACATATAACCACTTGAGTATCTGACATCTTTTTCTCCCTTTCAGGAAAGAGGATTTCTGGATCTTGAATCATGGCAAGCTGCATTCTTTTCTAGTATAGATGCATTGGTCAGAGAAAGCAGCATGTTAAGGCTAGAAAAAAAAAATTTTAATAATCAAAGTTTCTGTGTGCCTTTTCATTTTATTTTCAGTTGTTGTCACTCATAGCTTTTTCCATTTATTATTTATTCAAGTTATCCTTGTCTTATATTGTCTCTTTCTTTTAAGCTTTTTCAAACTTCCAACATATTTTTAGATATTTCCTATTTATTTGACTAGTTTCCCCTTGTAATCAGTGACCAACATCATGGATAACGGTCTTGTGTGCCACATCTGATCATAAGCTTTGCCTTTTAGCTCAGACTGCAAAAGGCTATAAATCTCCAATGTGGGGTTGCCATGATGAGCAACTCAGCTAAATCTCTCTTGAATGAAGCCCTAATCTGAGCTGACAATTTCAGCCTTCCACTATATATATATATATATACACACACACACACACACACACACTGTTATGTCATTTAGTTTTTATTATGATTTTTGCTCATGTTCACATAAATAGTACGTTAGAAGTGAATATCACTGCCAAATATATGTTCCAAGCATCTGTTCTTTTCAAAGATACTAATCTGATTCAGTTACTCGTATACTTTGATATTAGTTCAAATTTTGAAATGCATCAAGACTTCATTTGGTATAGATGTAGGTGTATTTACATTCAGGAGCTGAGAAATCCTCATTTTCCATTTGCATTGTTTAGAACAGGTTCTAGCATTTGGGTGGAATAGGTATTTGAAAATGGCATCCCTTTATATAAATTTTGCATCTAATTTTGTTTGACATTCTCCCCTTCCCTTTTGCTCCGCTCCTTCCCCAACAGGTTAGATGTTGAAAAGGTTGTACCTGATGAAGCAAGTTTAGACTGTAAAGAACTTGCTGTATTAGCTGTAAGTCTTTTCTTTGCTTGCATTGCTTTTCTCAAGTTAGTTTCAACCAGAGTTACTGACATTTATGGGAGCCAGTCAGTCTGATAAGGTATGCCGGATGGGCAGAGGTTGGGTTTTAATACTTGTTTGCAGCAGCACGACAATATTCATTACCTTGCTCTCTTAGTTTTAACCTCACTGTAACTATAGCTTCTATGTGAGGGAATGTGGCTTGGTAGACTTATTGTTCATAAGAAGGTTATCCTGAAATGAGCAATGTTTTACCGAATCGACGGATTATTTTCCCGAGTCAAAAAGTCCCTTGAGATGAAAATGAAAGATGATTGCTGGGAAAGTCTTACTCCGCGGACAGTTTTGGGAGGGTTTTGGCACTCATTTGTGAAGGACTTTGGTTTGATGCAGTTTCCATTTGTTCCTAACAAATAGTAACATGATTGCCCAACACAAGGACAAGAAAAAGAGATCTATGAATATGGACTTAACTGCATTAAAGGAAAGTGAAGCATTGTCCATTGTCTATACTTAAATCTTCAGTTGTCAATTTTAGCCATTTAACTGTGCTGGTGCTACATCCATTAAAAGCTCGTTTCGTCGCTATCAAAAGTGAGGAAAAAAAGCTGGTTTTGTTTTGTGTTCTCTCTTATGTGCTCCCTAGAGAATTGCTATTACTTTTAGCCTTTTTTTTTTTTAAAGAATTTAAACAGTCATGCAAACCTAAAGTATTTATTTTCAAGATTAAAAGTAGCGTTTTTAGGAGCAACTCTATTTTTATCTTGACCTTTTTTTTAGTATTTTTTATTATAATGTCCAAACAAAAGTTCTCTTACCATTTAGCTATAGCTACAAAACAGTAGTTTTTACGAAATGCAAAATGAAAACTGCATTCTGCCAAACGACGTCGTGGAAGAAAATTGTAAAACCACAATTACAAATCTATCCCCCAATGCTGACCTATTTTTCTGGTTTGAGTTTCTCCTTCTTGGAGACTCAGTTACGACTCTCCGCCCTCTCTTCTGCAACAACATTGAATTTTCGCTTTAATATTTTTATTTCTTTTATTTTTTTCAAAAAAAGGAAAAACTATTTCCGAAAAATCCCAATTAAGAAAAACCAAAAATTTTCTGCATATTAATTTAAGTAATTTTCGTTTTGGAATCATTGTGGATTTCTAGGGTTTTATTTCATGTACGGCGAAGCTTTAATGTCTTACGAATGGAGATTGCCTATAGCCTCTCCATGGCTCTCCAATCCCATCAGCCGTTGATCATAGTCACAATCATCACACTCCTTTCCCTCCTTGCCGTCCGATCATTCTTCAAGAGGTCCCACATATCCAACGCCTCCGCTTCCTCCACGTCAGCCTGTAAAGAGGAAGCCAAAGAAGCCACACACTCGTCCTCCTGCAACGGAACTTCCGATTCCGCGGCTTTCCTGAACGGCGATACTTTTGGTCCAGCGGAGAAGGGTATGATGTCGGCTGATGTTGCCAAGGTAGTGGCGGAGAGACAGAGCGGGGCTTCAATGATGGAGCAGTTGGTGCCGGAGATTACAACACACGCGCTTAGTTACTTGGATTATCCGAGCCTTTGCCGGCTTTCTATGACAAATTCCCTGATGAGAAAGGCCGCTAATGATGATAATGCTTGGAAAGCACTTTATCACAAGGTACCTAATTTCCCCTAATTTTTATTTATTTATTTATTCATTTTGGTGTTTTGCTTGAATTTTAATTTTCGTGAATTCTATGTTTAATTTTTTGTAGTATTTGCAATTAAGGGAAATACACTTAAGTCGTAAAAGTGTTCAAAAAACTAATTATCAATGTAAAACTACTAGGGAAAAAATAAAAAAAATAGTAAAACTTTTCCTTGACTCCTCTACTTTAGTTGTTTCATGCCATTTTCAATGAAAATATGAATTCGGTTTTCCTTAATTGATTTTTAGTTCCCACAATAGAACATAACTACACAAACTCATGGCATTGTTTGTTTATCTTGAACGAAGAGATGTGCTTGTTTTTAATGTTTGCTGCTACTTTCCTCGCTAGAGCTTTGTTCTTTTCAAAATCTTAAATGTATGTTTTATCACTTGGTGAACTGTTATCGTGGCTGAATATATAGTGTGTTGACTTTATGGGGGAAAAGAAAGGGCCTTTGTCTTCTTATCTCGGTTCTTTAAAGGAAGAGGTTCATGACTTTTTTTTTTTTGTTCGGTTTATATGGATGTTTTATCTTCTATTTGTTTCTTTGTGGTTTGAGTTTGTTTATCAACGTTTGGGCCCATTCTTTTATGTAAGCTGGTGATTGCATTTTTTTTTCTCACAATCATGTTCTTTAGTTAAACTGTGTACAATTCCTTGTTTCTCTTAAGAGTTAATTGTTGATATCTTTCACAATTATGGGCTGTAGGCATAAATTTTCCGCCTTATTCTTTTGTTTCTTAGGATTTTACTTTGGAGCAAGATAGCGTAACGCCAGTTAATGGGTGGAAGGCATACTATGCAGCTACAAGAGCCATAATGAATGTTAATGCAGAATTCTTTAACATCATCAGAGATAGGTCTCTTCCTGCGATGAGTCATATTTGGCTGAATGCAGATTATATAAAGTGTGTTCATGCATCAGGAGAACTTTTTTCAGGGTATGACGCTTTCAGTCCAATATTAGGAATTGTTGTTTACTGTTTTTTGTTCTTATGATCTATTTTACTCAGACTTGGGGTTGAGTGTTGGATATGGGTATGTGTCTGACACTGATATGCTTAGAGGGTTTCGGACCTCCATACACGTCTGTCAAAGTTTCGAACATGGGTACTTCAAGAAAAGGGAAGAGTTGGAGCAACATAGCTTATGATGATGAAAGGTTATAATTTCAGTAATTCCTATTATTTTCATCAGGCTTCTGCTCTGAACTTAAAATTTTAGCCTTGAGGTGGGTCTCATTCAAACTCTGAACTCAGCCCAATAAAGTTTGCGGTGCCATTTTAATTCTCTTATTGCTTGAAGTTTTTCCTTTAGATCTTTTCCACCTTAAGATTGGGTTAAGTTGCATGACCTGTTTATAGATGTAATGTAGCACAGTTGATTACGTGCGAGTCAAATGAGGGCCTGGACTCTTGATGTTTGCATAGTTAAGATGTTTCGCGAAAATCCTGTGATGATTCCAAAAATATTTGAAGATAGAGAAAGAGCTTTAACTTATAAGATGATTATAGGTTATTTATATGATCGGAATGTAAATGGCTTGAGTCCTTGGTTCCAACATTGGAATGCTTTTACAAGAGTTTTGCTATTAGCACATGGTGATTCCTGACTTGGAGTGACAATGCTTTGTCTTAACATATTAGAGCAATTCATCCCAGAGTAAAGAGCCTTACGTTTTTTGTTACAAGCATGAGACATGGTCATGCTTGAAACAAAAGGCATGGTACCCATGGATGGTGGGTTGGAAGTGCTGGGAACAGGAAATGATATGTTGAGTATAGGTATGTTAGAACCAACTACATTCAAATAGAATTTTTTGAAGAAAGACAAAGATATTGTAATTTGTAAAAACTGAATTATGAATGTGTTACCTAAAAGATTATGTATTCATGATGGAGGGCAAAAGTTTGAAAGAAAAATATTTATTTGAGGATATTTTGAACAGTCAATTTCTTTTTCTTTTGGGTTATCACATTTGTTGGAAGCTTGATCCTGCATCACTCAGAGGGTTTTGTGATGAAAAATATTCAATACTCAACCTACCCTCATCAAAGTCTTGACCTTGATGTTTTCAGGAAGTAGGAATTAGCTAATCTGCGTGCTAGTAATATATCATCCAAATATTTAACTTGATAAGGCTTAGGTCTTCATTTCACTGGTTGGCTTTGTATTATTGTATTAATGCTGAGAGCCATTGTTGTGTTCCTCTGCAGATATAATGCTGTAATACAAAGTTGGCAACTTGCATTTAATTGGGAGCAAGGGTTTGATTTTCAGGTTCGGGATGTTCGAGCCCGGGTACTGACAGACATGGCCTGGGTTACAATGAAAACCTATGTTGACTTGGATAATGGGGCATTTAACATGACTAACGTCTATGAGTTTCATCAGGGACGGTGGTACCTTGTGCATCATCACAGCTCAGTGATGCTTGCCGATGGGGACATGGAACAACAGATTATTCATGGATAACAGAAGATGAAGAGTCAATACAAGTGATAATTTTAGTACTAGCTTCAAAACATAGTACTAGTAATTTACTAGCAAAAGCAAGTTGCGTGAAATTTCACTGGGAATTTATTTCAATTATCCTTCTTTTTGGGCTTTGCCACCTCAGTTTTGGGTATTTTGTGGTAAATAGGTGCTCGTTACGTTTGTCTTTTCATCATTTCTTTGCCTCCTAATTATCATAATTTTGGGTGTATATATTTATATATTTTTTCAACAATTTCTTCACATGGATGTATGCATGTGAATTGAAGATGGATTCACAGAAGTTGCATGATGTTCTGGATCCAAAATGTGGCTCAAGGGGTAAAACTAAATCATCAGTGGCTTTGAATAATGATTAAATTATTTAAGGAAAAACTCCAATGTTTTGCAGGTCTCAGAAAATTTAAGGAATATATGGGATGATCGTAAACCTGTCTTTTATGGTAATTAATTTTGTTGTAGAGAATGCGGAAGTAGAGATTGTCATGTGGCATCAGCCTTCATTCTTTTTTTATTTAATCTATTTAATTATTCTTTGGTTTTTTTAATTTTATTTTTTATTAGATAAATTTTGTAATAAAAAATGTTAATGAAGGTAGGGATGATAAAATACTTTGTATTTTTATTTATAATGATCTAAATTAGGTGCATTTTCTAAAAAAATCAAAATCAGGTCAATTTTTTTTTAATGTGATTTGTTGGAGATAGATTTAAAATGTTTCATCATGGGTGTTCATGTTTAATCTTCTTTCTTCTTGGTTTTTTTTGTTTTTTGTTTTTTAACTCTTTTACTTTTGTTTTTCTATTAGATAAATTATGTAATAAAAAAGATAAAGATGATAAAATAATCATGAGTTTCAATTCATCTCAACCTAATTGGTGTATTTTTTTTTTAATTTGGAATAACATGAGTTTTTTTTTTTTAAATCGAATTTAGGTAAGAGTAAGGTTTTGAGTGTTATATCTTAACTTCGGTATATATATAAAAAATATATATTATTATTTATTTGATTTTATATTTATTTATGAATTTTATCAAAAAATATTATTTAATATTTTAATTGAATAAATTTACATGTTATCCTATTTGGCTTCTTTTTTATCATTTTCTTTGTTTTTTAACATTTGATTTATTAGATAAATTTTGTAAAAAAAGAGTCAATGATATAGAGATAACAAAACAATATATATCTGATGAATTTTAATTCATCACAATTCAATCGATGCGATTTTTTAAAAAATAAAAATTAAGTTAAATTTTATTTATTTGAACAATTTGGATCAAATCAGGATTAAATTTGGGGTGTTCTACTTGATTTTAATCGTGATATATAAAAGAATATATTTAATTAATTATTTAATCTATATATATGTATTATATTAATAATGATATTATTTAATATCTTAATTTAAAAAAATTATATTTATATAATTAAGTTATAATTTTTATTAAAAATTAAATACACTTATATTTATCTATATCTTGTCATCTATTAACATTTGACATAAAAACTTTACTTCTTTCATTTTTAAAACATAATTTAAAAAAAATAAAAAATAGTCCATAGCAAAATGCGAATATAATTATAGTGTTAATAAAGATTCTAGATTGCAAAATGGGTAAAATATCAATAATGGCTTTCGATTAGAGTTGTCAAATAAGCCGTGTTCGCCCCATTAAAAATTTAATCCATTTGTTAATGGGTTATGCTAACTCAATACTATTTTTTAAGATGCTATTCTGGCATGGCTCATGAAAACTAAAAGTATGGTCTAGCACACACATAACTCATGATCCTTACGAGTCGTGTTGTGCCTAGCACAACATTATTATTCGTGTTGTATTAGGTTAAGCATAATTTATTAATAATTTCTTAAAATTTTATTTTTAAAGAATTTTTTTATTTTTCATCTATTTTAAAAATTAATATATGAAATTGATATGAAGTCCATAATTCATATGATTCAACAAAATATTTATATTTACTAGTAAATGTTAAAAGAATTTATTAAAATAATATGTGAAAATTAACAAATACTAATATTATAATTTCTAAATTTTAAAAAATGAATATCACATTATGATTTTTATTTTTCATTTTCAACTTATAATGATTCATTTATATCATATATTTTATTTTATTTTTAATTTTTTTCATAATATTTTAAGCAATATGCACTTCATAGTTTTTTTTCTTAGGAAAAGATAAATTAAAATGAAAAAAATTATAATTTTATCTATTAATTATTTAAATATTTTATAAGTAGATTTAATGATATAATTTAATTTTATAAATTTCAAATGTAAAGTATCAAAAAAATAAAAAAATCCATCATTACATAAAATACAACTAAAGATTAACAAATTAAACCTATTTATAACATTTATAGACTAATATAGTACGACACATAAATGCTTTTATATCATGCCGTGTCGGCCCATATATATGGGTCATCCTATCTATCAAACAAATTTAAAATGATATAAATCCATAAATTACACTTGGAATGACCGATAATATAATAATGAATTGTGACAAATACAATTCATACTAAACCTAACCGTGTCCTGTCATGGGCCAAATACAATTCATACTAAACCTACCATGTCTTGTCATGGGCCGGCAGCCTAATTCACACCTATAGTTTCGGGATTTCGTCAGCAAACAGCTGGATAAAGTTAAAAAGTGAACATGGCCAGATTGCCAAAGTTACCACAAAAGGTTCTATAATATGGTGGTCAGGACATTCGGTTCTGAATCCTGTAATCTGAGTTCAAGTTAATAGTTTCCTCTCAATCAATTTTGCTTTAGGACCAAAGATGTAATTTACTCTTTATAATAATATAACCTCCATCAACCATGTCTCATTCTGGACCTTATATTTTTCTTACAACGCCTGCAGCTCTTGGCTGTTATCCGTTTGTAAACACGCGGCAATTAAACAAAACGGAATGGCAGTGACCCTTCTCTCAGCACCAGCACCACCATCTCATCAAACCTCCTTCTTTCAACGCCCTTACTCCATAACTTTTATCAAGTATCCATTTAAGCCTATCATCCCTCTATCCGCTACTGCTTCTTCAAGTGCTTCTACCGCTGGAGATGAACCTCCTGCTTTACCTGAAGACATTCCCTTCCAATCAGAATCTTCCACCATTGCAGTTGAAGATTCTCCTTTCAGGTACCACGCATATTCGTATAACTTGGAGATCGTTGTCAGTTATCTTAAATACCGTAAAATGAAAGTTTAACCAAAAAAAGGTGAATTTTGATGCTACTGCTCAACTTTTATAGATCAATTAGTATGATGGAAGGCGGTTTTCTTTCAAGTCTCTTGTATCAATCATCTAGTTTACCAGGCAGTAAAAATTAAAGACAGAAAAAACTCTATTGTTAGTACAGCACGTTATTTGGTGGGTACAATCTCATATTCAATATTGAGTGAAAGAAACTCAATATCTGAAACTATGAAAGGGTCATTATTATGGCCTTGTTGCTGGCTTTCAGATTTAAGGATTGAGAGCCATCGCCGTGCTGCTGCTTAAAGAATTGGATTCTTGATTCTTCACTGCATGAAAATTTATTTCTTGGAAATTTTCTACGCTAATTGCCATAGATAGCTATTTGTTTCACGTTGCTAATTTGAATTTGTTTTTTATTCTCGTTTAAGTGATGGAAAAAACCCAAATCCTTCGTCTACAGCATTTGAACTCAAGGCTATCATCCATTTCCGTGGATCGCCCCTCAATCATTTTAAAAGCATTACATAGTTTTTGAAGTTTGCAGCGTCTCAAAAAAGCCCTGTTCATTTGGTTTGTTTTGCGAATTGTGATTTGGTGCATCTTTATGTATGTGTTTATAGGAATGGAATACAGAATTCAAGGCTATCATCCATTTCCGTGGATCGCCCCTCAATCATTTTAAAAGCATTACATAGTTTTTGAAGTTTGCAGCGTCTCAAAAAAGCCCTGTTCATTTGGTTTGTTTTGCGAATTGTGATTTGGTGCATCTTTATGTATGTGTTTATAGGAATGGAATACAGAATTCACGGTTCTCTTGGATTTTTTGTATCTATTTGTATTTGCTCTTGGCATTTTTACATAAGAAGATGGCTGACATGTTCGCAGGGGTTGCAAGGCCTGTGGCAGAGAGGAATTAGAGAGGGGATGCAATGGTGAGGGGAGGATTCAAGGAGGGATTGCAACAGTTCCAGGGTTTGGTTGGTGGCCTATAAAGGCTTACCGGCCTTGTCCTGGATTTGTGGCATCAGGTGGTAGGTATATGCGACGTGGTCAAAGCATGGATGACGTTGCCTCTGGAAGAGGGAGAAGAGGTAGTCCTCGAGGGACTGGTGAGGAGGCTGAGTCAAGGTAAGCATATTTCCTAACTAGTTTGTATTTGATAAGATTGCTACATTCTATGGTTCTGGGATTCACTAAGATTTTCAATTAATTTAGCTGAATTTGTTTTCTCGAGGATGAGGTAGCATTCCCAGTCTCAACTCTGTAAACTTTGAGTTGGCTTCCTCCAGCTATAGAATCAGCCCTCCAATGGGTTTATATTTGAAAGGAAGGGGCACCCTTCCTATTTACTGCATATGCATCATTTGCACTTGTATGCATGCATGATCCAACCAATAACCATCTTAACCTGCCAAACCTCCAAAGAAACTAGTTGATTTCAGTATGTTTGTGATGCTTCTGATATAATATTTAGTTGCCAGTCTATATTTCTGATACATTTTTCTAATTTTCTTTTTCAAACTGGTTCAATTAATCTGTGCTCATATTGGTAGTTTAAGTTAATGTAAAACTTTAATCCAATCAAACTTTTACTTTGTTGCTGTTTTCTTTTTCCTGTATTTTTGCTTTTGGAAGGCTGTTCTGGTTGTATGATGTAATTTGAATCCTTGCAGCAAGAAAAAGCAAGGTCCAAGGAAGTTTAAAAGATAACCAATGCAGAGAATGAGATTTATACCTGCAAGTGCAACATTGCTCAGTCCAGAAAGGCGAGACCTGGCAACCATTAGTCATGGGTTTGTTAAACAACCAAATCCCTTTTTCCTCTTTTTTTTTTTTTTTTTCTTTTGGCTTCGATCTTAGGGAACATGGAAAAACTGTTACTTGTAATTGCATACATGTCTTTGTTGCCTGTCGATTGTCTTCCTTCTTAGTTCATGTGCGAACTGAAATTAGGGTGATCAAACTCCTGATATTGACCAGCAATTGATATAATTTTGTCAAAGGATAAATTGGCTACAACTGGTAGCTAGGATTTCGAAACATTGTGAATGGGAATCATTAACTGCAATTGTTTCATTAAGCTACAACTTTGCCCTTTAACATCTTGGTTGATTTCTAATGTTCTAATAATAGTTTTACCTCAAAAAATCAGCTAGAAGATATGGCCCTTTCTACTTCAAATATATATGACTGAGGAAGCTGCTGTTTTTGCTAAGATGAAAGACCGTGTTACATGTACAATCTTATATAAGCGAGAATGATTCCTTTTTTTTCTCTTTGAAGTAAAATGTGAAGATCTACCTTCATTTTCCTCTATCCTTTCAAAAAGGATTCCCAAATATATTAAGAAAAGAATCCACTGTTAAATGGACCCTGCAAAATTTGGGGCTGACTAAACCTTAGCTTAAATGGTTTATTCCTATGAGTTGTAACGTAAACATCTTACACTTCCCAACAGATCATTGCCGAGACACATCCCAGTTAAGTAGATTATAGGACACTAACAAACAATTCTATGTATCAAGAATGCGCGAGACGATGACGGTAATATCATCTTGCTTTCCACCGATGTGACTTTTTCCAGCCATCATAGAAGCTTGCATAAATGGAGTGACAGCTTCTCTATCCATGGAAACATGGTATGCTTGTTGAGCAACAGGCCAGGCAACCTCCTCTGGATGTAAACCTCGTTCAATCCCTGTTGCTGCAGTCTCCAATATCTGACTTTCAGACAAGTTGTCGAATAGTCCATCTGTTCCAGCTATAATAACATCTCCTGGTTCTACCGCAAGCTTGATTACCTGCGTGGGAGGAATAAGTAAAGAGACTGTAAACTTGACAAAATGTTACAAGATGTAAACAGATTGTTAACTTCGATAGCCGACAATTCACTTTACCTGTGCCTGCCAGGGTTTATTGGAATTTGCAGAATTTCCCAGCTGATATGGGTAATTGAAAGAGTGTTGCTGAATTGGCGATTTGTATAGGGTGGCACCTTGTCTGATCAGCATAAACCCACTATCTCCCATATTAACAGCATGCAACATCTATTACAAGGGGAAAAAAAGATTCATCAGTTTGCAAGCTTAAAGTAGAGTTAATAACCGATTAACATGATTTCCGCAACACAAAAGAGATTAAAACGAAAAATAACACACATTGTCCTCCTGAAGGGTTATGATGCAAGCTGTTGATGATCCCTTAGCTTTGGTCTTCCTGAAGGCCTCATCCAAAACCTTCATTGGATCCACCTGCCTGTCTGGCTGTGTCAGGATAGCAAGAAGAGAATTATTCATGAGTTCCCTGGCATATAATCCAGCATCAACACCCTGGCTGCTCCAACCACCAACGCCATCTGCCAGTCCAATTGTCTGCTTCTCTTCACAGATAAAATGGCTGTCATCACCCTGCGGTCTTGAATCTCTGTCTTTGGCTATATAAAATGACCCAGACATCATCATCAAGTTTCCCTTTTGAATACCAACCCTAAAACCCAAAAAATAATGAAATCAAAGATTGTGAGCACATAATTCATTTGCTTTTTCCCAATCAATATTGAACACAGAAAATCTTGGAGGGGAATTTGTTAACATATGGGCCTACCCTTCTTTGTCCCCTTCGGATTCTTTTATTATAAAGCAATTTCAAAGCTTTGAGTTGAGCCATACATAAGCTTAAACTTGCTAAAGGTGTTTTATTCTCTAACGCGTCCCACTGCCAACTTTGTTAAACCACGTTGTGTATCCCCATGAAAATTAGTCCCTAGATCAAGGAATTTCCGATAACCAAAGAACATTCTTTTTTTTTTCTTTGTAAATTGTATGTAATCTCTAAGAATTTGAAAACTATTTAAACACAAATTCAATGTAAATTCAAGACAGGAGGGGGGTCCATACCTATCATCAGCCATGGTTTCTTCAGAATTTGATTGTTGAAGCTTTGAAGCAACGTGGGTCGTCTATCAAAGGTTTCAAAACTAGATCACTGGCATGGCTGAGAGATTTTAAGTGAAGAGTTAGCAGTAAAAGAAATCCGATTATAAATAGTATTAATGGTTAGTACTTCCAAAGGAAGTTTGCACTTTGTTTTTCCGTCCGGACGGTCAGGACTTGAGAGCAAAGGAGCTTGGAACGTAATTACTAATTAGTAGTATGTGTTATTCTTCTAATGCCAAGTTTGATAAAGAAAAGAAACCCATTGTCATAGTCATAGCCATAGTTATTTATTTCATTTTGCTATCGATCGTGCATTCCAGTTATATCAAAATATGATATATTTAAAAATAATTTTTTATATCATATTTAATATCGATAATATTAATTATTTTTATTAGTTTTAGTTGATTTCAGTAAATTTTGACAAATTATCTTGTTTTGATTAGTACGTAAATGTAAAACATATGTTATAATTTTTAATTTATTTTTTATTATTTAACTATTTTTAATCTAATAAAAATAAAATTAATTGATAAAATAACTCTTAAAAATTAAATTTCTTTATTTTTTTATTGAAACTTATTGTCTTTTATATTTTATTCTTTTAAAAAATCAAAGTTCATAAATATTTCAATCTTTCAAGAAAACAATTATGTTACCTTTTTAAAGTTTAACAATCATGAAACTAAAGTTAATTTTTTTTATCTCTTTATTTTTATCTTAATATTTACATAAAAATATTTATTTAAATATCATATAATCAGATTAAGTGTTTAAAAATATCATAAAAATTTATGATATTATTTCTTATACTTTTAAACTTATTTATTCAAAATTTAAAAATATTACATATTTATTTTGTAAATTATAATATACAAATTCATGTATATTTATAAATATATTTATATTAAATCAAAAAATTTGAAATAATATATCAAAATAACTTATATCAATATTTATTATATTTTTAAAAAAAATCGAAACGTTATCCATTACAGTATTAATAACTTTGCTCATAGCCTATACTCCTAATATATGAGATTAATAGTTGGCGGTGAATAACAATAAGCCGCTTTAGCTACTTAAGTAGTAATTTTGATCAAATCAACAACCATAATTTTATAATTGATCTAAGTACCAATCAGATTAAATTATTATTAAATAAATGATAATTATCATTTTATAGGAAAGTGAGGAAAGTAGGGAATATTGTTTACTTTTAAAAAAGAAAAAGTATCCTTGAGCTATAAGTAATTTTTGTGGAGACTGTTAATATTTAAAAAAAAAAAAAAGAAATGCTATAAGTTGAATCAAAATTTGCCTAATTAATTTTTTTTTTTTATCATTTCATATCATTTGTGTTATTGAGTAAAAATTAAACTATGCTATGTAAAATCAAACTAAGGATGCATATTGACGGAAATAAGAATGCCTCCTCCTCTGGAGAGAATTTAAAAAAATAAAAAAAAAAAAACTAATTTCAATCTAATTAAAGACGTTTGGCACATGACACTGAGATATTGATTTAATGATACAGAAAAAAAATCTCAAAATCTTAAAGTTTTAAGTTCATATCTTATTATGTATAGATTTGATCTAATTTTATATTAGAATTACCCAATTATCTGTTAATTTATTGAATGATTTGTTTGATTTAATTTAATATAAATTTTATATAAGAATGATATTTGATTATGGTTATACTTGAAATTTCATGAAAAATAAAAACTTTGACACACATTAGGAAGGGATTTTAAATTTTAATAATAATTATAACATTATATGTACAAGACGCTTAAGCTACTAAACATTTTAAAATAAGATAAATATTAGGCTACATGAAACAGTTTTTTTCTAGCAGAGTAGATTCCTAAGGGCAGAAATCTAGCTATGGTGCCTTGTTATCGATGGGAACCTTGAACACATTGGACAAGGCTGGCTTCCAGCCCACCACCCAAGAGCTCTTGCTCCGCTTTGGCGTTAGCATAGCTGAGCTTGCAGCCAGTCTCATCTTCTCAATCAATGCCTCAGTGTTAACTTGTTCTGATAAAATATCCCCCAGTTGCTGACTGCTAATCACCAATTTCACTTTCCAAACCCCTTTCTTCTGCGATGGCAACACTTCCAGAGCCGATCCACTTGACAAATTCTCAACAAAATCTGCTGATGACATCTTAGGTGGCTCAATCCGATTCGTCCAATTCACTTCAATTTTCTTCGCAGCTTCTTTGTTAACCTGTTTACTGACACCAGAGTCACCAGGCTTCCGAACCTTCTCCAGGGGAAGAAGATAGTAAAATCCCCCATTAACCAAGCTTTCATCTTCAGGCAATGGTAATGAAGCTTGACCTCTTCTGCAAATAGCATACCCTGGAAAATCGTTTGCAATCTCTCGGGCTAGTTTAGGACCCTTGAGAACAACGATTTCGCCGGTATCAGTTAAAACCCTGATAGAGTTGTTGCACTCCCCAGTGACCCCTTTGAGAGAACAATTCCCCATTGAGAAATTTTTCTTAAGCCTTTGACATTTGCTCACAGGGCTGTAACATGTATTTAAAACTTGGAATCTTGGCAAAAACTAGTGGAAAGAAAATGGGGGGGAAGGTGTCAGAAGAGACAATTTGAGTGGTGTTGTTTTCAAAAATTTGATCGGCGCCATGTGATACTAGACCGTTGGCAGGATTATTTAACGGAACTCGAGTTTTTGTAATGGAATGACAAAAGATTAGAAGAATAGATTAAACAATAGTCAGGTAAACGACATTTCAGAAGCAGATCAGTTCAAATTAACGTTCTAAGGGATGATAATTTTTTTCTTTTGATGGATTCCTTTCTAATCTTGTAGGCATCTAAATTTTGAGGCAAATTTTGGGATTTTCCTCTCAATTATATTTGCCTCACACTAAAAGGGGACAAAAATTTTACAACATTTAGTGTTTTTTTTTTTTAATGTTGCCTGTCGGTTGGTTCATGTATTTAAGCAAGCGAAAGAGATAAGTTAATTTGGTTTTGCTCACGGGAAAATTGTCAGTTACGCAAGGACTTCGAAGTTCTAAGCCAATCGATTATGAATAATATAGAATAGCACCAATAGAGCATCACCAACTCGTGAATGAACATATGGGAAATATGTTTGGCTCTTTGCAAATACTAGGACGATTATATCTTATTCAGGGAAACCGGCAAAGGCAATGCCCTTGGAATTAGTAATCATTTTTCATATGGGCTGATGAGACCAAACTTGGGTTGGCATTTTCTTTAAACAGTAATCGAACTAGAACCAAGTTGAATTCTGCGTCATTCTATGCAAAATTAATGCGTTTATTTGAGTAATAGGATTGGGATGATAAAGGGTTTGCTTGCTTTGGAGAGATGTCTACATTTGTAAGCTTTTATTTGATTTTTTAGATACAAATTTGACCATTTTTAATTTTGCAAGCTGATGTAGGATAGCGACATGAATTTCACTTGTAAAAAGTTTAGACATCACTCATCATTCAGGTTGCCCTTTTGGACTAAAAAGTATGATCATCATTTATCCTTTTTTTTTTTTTTTAAATATTGTTCATCATTTATCTAAATTACAGTAAATATATAATGATGACAGTGTTATTGGGTCTGAAGTAATAAACATAATAACGCAGAACCAATATATCGTAATAAATCTATAGTAATAGACAACAATTAATAATCAACAACGCAAGAAAAATAAAGCATACTAAAATTTACGTGAAAAATCTTTCAATATAGAGGAAAAATCACGAACCACCAAAAAAATCTTCAGTATCAAATAATGGATATATAAAGTTTTTCTCTAACTAAAACTAGAACTAATCAATAACTAGAGAGAGACAATTTGAAAAATCTCACCAAATAGATAACTTAACAAATACACATTGGATTTATTCTTAGAGAGCTTCAAACATGATCTTCACCGTTCAGAATGTAGAACTCTGAAACCTGTTGACAAAATTTCAGCTCAATCAGATGACAGATTGACTTTCATTCAACTAACTCTCTATTCTTCTTTTTCTCTCTATTTTTTTTGCTTTTCGTTTTTCTTTTCTTAGTTTGCGACACAACTTTAAAATAATCTCACCTTTTTTTATTAAGTAGCTAGGGCTCTATGTAAAAAAAAAAGACCAAGGCCCATGGCCTTTGATTGATCCAAAACCAATTACATGAGATTAGACCCCATTTTCCTAATAATCTCCCCCTCTAACCCCATTATGAGTAGATTCATCACCGTAGCAATTTTATTTGAAACTTACCTTGGCCAATGAACTCATTCCGGTCAAGTTACTACAGAACTAAAGCTTCTTCTTGGAAATTATCTTAGTCAATATATCTATTATATTATCATCAGTATGAATTTTCTTCAACAGCATCTGCTGTTCCTTAATCAATAAACGTAATTAGTGATATCTAATATTAATGTGCTTTGTTCTAATATGATACATGATATTTTTACTCAAATCTAAAGTACTCTAACTATCACAAAATACCACATACTCTTTTTTATTCAACTTCAATTTAAGAAAAAAATGTTTCATCCAAAGTATTTCTTTACCTGCTTCGGTTGCTACAATATATTCAGCCTCTGTAGTTGACAAAGCAACACATTTTTGTAATTTATACTGTCAAGACACAGGTCCTCCTACAAAAGTGAACAAATACCTTGAAATAAATTTTCTACCATCAAGATCACTTTTCACATCTGTATCAGTAAACTCTTCTAGAACTGGTTATGAAACTCCATAACTCAAGCACATTTTTTAGGTGCCCCTCATATATATGAAAATACATTTCACTACTTTTCATTGAACTTTTCTTGGATTAAAAAGAAATCTACTTACTAAATCAGCTATATGAGCAATGTTAGGCCATATACAAACCATAATATACATTAAAGAACCGACTGCAGAAGAATAAGAAATACTAGACATAGCTAGTTGCTTCTCCTTAGACACCGGACAAGATTTCTTACTCAGATAAAAATGGTTGGTAAGTGGACTGCTAACTAATTTAGCATGTTACATATTGAATTTACTAAACACCCATTCAATATTTTTTTTTTGTGATAATCATCGCTTTTCAGCTTTCATATCTTAGACAATGTTTATACTAAGAATCTGCTTTGCTGGACCTAAATTTTTCATGTTAAAAGATTTAGACAATTATTCTTTCAACTTGTAAACCATACCAGCATCTTATCCTACAATCAATATATTATCAACATATAATAAGAGAATAATAAAGTTACCATTAGAGAATTTTTTGACATACACACAAGGATCCGTTATCATTCTTTTACAGTTGTGGTTCACTATAAAAGAATCAAACTTTTTGTACTACTATGGCAGAGCTTGTTTCAAGTCATACAAGTTTTTCTTCAGTTTACAAATTAAGTGCTCTTTCCCATTCATTTCAAAATCCTCAGACTGATTCATATAAATATCTTCATACAAGTCACCATATAAGAATACAGTTTTAACATCAAGTTGCTCAAGCTCAAGATTCAAACTAGCTACTAATCCCAATATCACTCGAATGAAACTCATCTTCACAATTGGAGTGAAAATCTCATCAAAATCGATGCTTGATTTTTTAGAAAAATTTTTTACCATCAATTAAGCTTTGTACCTTACTAGTTTGTCACCATCCTTTTTCAACTTGAACACCCATTTATTTTTCAACGACCTCTTTCTTTTTGAAAGTTTAACAAGATCATAAGTACCATTTTTTTGTAATGACTTTATCTCTTCTTTCATTGCTTTTAACCAGTGCTCTCTATCTGAAGTAACCTGCACATCTTGAAAGCTCTCTCGCTCCTTCTTACTGGTAACTAAAATAAAATTTGAACTTGGATATATATTAGATGGCCTACGCTTTTTAGTAGACCTCCTAGGCTAAGACTCTATATCACCTAATGCCGAAGGTAGCTCTCTCTGTTCAACACTCTCTGGTGAAGAGGATTACTCCTCTTGCTCAACACTGATTGCATCTAGCTCATTACTAACTATGGCTGGCTCATTCATATCCTCAAGTTTTATTTTTTATTCATTTTCACCATTTATGGTTCTTTCTTGTGGAACCCTTATCGGTGTTGAAACATCACATTCAACAGTAACCCGTATAGTCTTCTTATTTTTCTTAAAGTTTACTATGATTTTTTTTCATGAAAGATCACATCTCCGTTTCTAATTATCTTTCTCTTCACAGATCTCATACCATGTAGCTAAATTCCTCATCACCATATCTACAAACACATATTGTGTGACTTTACTATCAAGCTTTGACCTCTGCTCTTTCGGCACATGCATGAATACTTTACATTCAAAAACTTTCAAGTAAGAGTATGAAGCATTTTTTTTTGTCCACACTTTTTTTAGAATGTCAAAGCCCAAAGAAACTAATGGTGATCTGTTAAACAAATAATAAGCTGTGTTGACTACTTCACTCCATAATGATTTTGGTAATTTTGTCATCTTCAACATATATCTGACTTTTTTCATAATGGTGTGGTTCATCCTTTCAGCTACACTATTATGCTTCGGTGTTCCAAGTTCTGTCATCTCATGCTTAATCTAATGATGTGAATAGTACTCTTCAAAGTTTTTGAATGTGTATTCCCTACCATTATCAGTCCAAATACGCTTTAAAGATAATCCTGTCATCTTTTTCATCATGACATAAAATTTTTAAAAATACTACAATACCTGACATTTATTTTTTAATATATATATTCAAGTCTTATGTGAAGCATCATTAATAAAAGTAACAAAATACATGCTACCACTTAATGACTCAACGTCAATGAGACTACATACGTTAGAATAAATAAATTATAATCTATTTTTTTCTTTGAGAACTTTTACAAAAAAAATACTATGATGCTTACCAAACAAACAATCACATGAATCAAGAGACGTAACTTTGGTCAAATGAATGAAAAATTGTCATGTCAAAACCTGTAACCCTTTTCTCACTCATATGTGCCAGCCTCTTGTGCCATAAGTTTGTTGAAGCATCATCCTCAATGATATTTATCTGGTTACAATTTAATTGCATCTATATCTCATATATTATGCAACATAGTTTTTTCTTTGCAACTATCATAGATCTTTTGAGAAGTTTTCACTACCTATTCTTTTATCGACTCTCATATCATTCCTTATCAAGGACATTAATAGCAAATAAGTTCATTCTCATTTCTCAAATGTATCTAACATCCCTCAAAGTCAGTATACAACCTGTATTAGTTTGTACAATAATATCACTAATTTCAACAATCTGTGACACTCTTGTTTCCCATCTTAGTGTAATCAAAGTCTCCTACTTTGTAATTTATAAACAACTCTCTCTTAAGAACACAATGATATGCCATTCCTATGTCAACTATCCATTAAATATCGAGATCACCAACATGATTATAATCATCATGTGTACAAATCAAAGTAACTTAATCACTATCTGAATTTACTGCTGCAACATTACAATTATCTGAACTCTTACCTTTCTCATCTTTTCGTTATTGCTTCAAGATTTTATAGTATCATTTTATATTACTTGTTTTACCACAGTGAAAAACATTTCATTTTATTTCTAGACTTGGATCTATATTTAGACTTATTATAGCCTTTTGAGTTTTGACATCTGTCGTTATTTTTACCCTTGTTCTTTGTGACCAGAGCTTGATTCTCAATGTCTACATCTTTTCACCTTACTTTTTTATTAAGAATACTATTCTTTACCATCTTCAATGTCACATTGTAATCAGAAGCTGAATTAAGAATAATCACAACTAAAGTATTTTAATTATCTGATAATGAACATAAAAGAAATAACACCTTTATTTTATCATCCATTTTTAGCTCTATAGTAGTCATTCGATTAAATATATCTTAAAAATGACTCAAGTGCTTTGTAATCGATCATCCATCCTTGTATTATAAAGTTTTAAGCTTTTTAATAAGCATAACTTTATTCGTACATGTTTTTCTCTCAAACAATGTTGTCAATTTTTTTCAAACAATATGGGCATCTGTCTCATATGCTACATGATGGAACATACTAATATCAACCCATTTTCTAATTGTAGCCAGCGTCTTTCTGCCTAACATCTTCTAGTTTTCATATTTTATATCTGTTGATTTAATCGAATCACCTAATATCGGCTCATACAAATTTTTACAGTATAAATAATCTTTCATATAGGTTTTCAAATTGAATAATGTGATACTGTCAATTTTATCATAAAATCTATATTATCATCTATTATCTCAAATAGAATTTACTTTTGTCTTGAACTGCTTTTGTATCGATATCTCAAAATAACTCTCGCTCTGATATCACTTGTTAGGCCTGAAGCAATAAACACAACAACACAGAAGTAATATATTGTAATAAATCTACAGTAATAGATAACAATCAATAATCAACAATGTAAAAAAAATAAAGTACATAAGATTTACATGAAAAACTCTCCAAAGTAAAGAAAAAAATCATGGACCACCAAAAAAATCTTCACATTAAATAATAAATATATAATATTCCTCTTTAGCTAAAACTAGAGTTAATCAATAATTAAAAAGAGACAATTAAAAAAATCTCACTAAATAGATAACTCAATAAATATATCTTAGATTTATTTCTAGAGAACTTCAAACTTGATCTTCATCATTCAGAATATAAAACTCTGAATTATAAATCTGCTGATAAAATTTAACTTAATCAAATCATAAATCAATTTTTGTTTAATCAACTTTTTTTTTTAATCTTTTTTTTTATTTTTTTTATTTGCGATTAAACTTTAAGGTAACCTTACTTTTTTTTTTATTAAGTAACTAAAACTATATATATAAAAAAATATTTAAAACTCATGATCTTTTATTGATGTAAAACTAATTACATGAAACTGAGCCTATTTTCCTACCTAAGTGCTACTTATTACTTGACATAAAGAGAATATGAATGATTGCCTGCTAGACAGGATTGAAGCCGTCATACCCAACTCACACATCCGACCGACAGACAATTGGCGAAGCGATTTTCAAGATATCTTGAGTTGACGTGTCTGTCATTGACAGGTCCACATGGCGAAACACGACACCAGTCGATCATTCTAAGGCTTATCGCAAAAATCCGATCAATTTCAAAAAATAATGCTCAAAGATAAAACTCTTCGTCCATAGCTACCACAAAAATTCTCCCTCCACGTGCCACTTCCCTCCATGAAAAATAAATACAAATTCCACCGTCTTGAAAATATCACCCAAAAACCAAAACCATTTTTTTTTGGGCTTGAGGACAGAAATAGATTCCTCTTTCAGGGAAGAAGCGAAGAAAATTAGACTACTAAAGTTTTTGAGGGAAAGGGGAAATATCAGAGGCACATAGTAAGAAAATGCTATCAGCTCACATTAGCACGTCTTTCATATGTTGAGGATTTTCTTGCCTAATTATCGATTTTCTCGTAAAATCACAAATTTTCTCATAAAATCACAATTTTTTTGCTGAAATTGTCAAATTTCTTGCATTGTTGTTTCCATCCATTAGTTTTCTTTCATTATCTGTTGTTGATTGGATCATTGGGACTTGCTTCATTTGATTGTGAGTTTGAGTGGTGCTCCATCTGTTTGTGAAATGGCTGATACGGTTCCTGATCCATCTTCTTCTGGTAAGGGTGAAGTGGTGGCCAGCCAAGGCCCTGTAACTGCCTTTGGGGATAGTGAACAAAAGAATGCTATGGATTGGAGAAATCTTTTCTTGGCATCGAACGATCAATCTCTGAAATTCTTCCTTCCCCAAATGGTGAATGGTAAAGCACTGGTTAAATCGATAGATGATGTATTTGAAGGAGTGCATCAATGGCGGAATTTTTTGGTGGCCCAATTCCTTGGATGGGTGCCAAACTTTAGCCAATTTCAAAGGCTGGTAAACATGCTTTGGGGAAAAGAAGGGTTAGTTACTATCAAACCTGCTAGGAAAAATTTGTTTGTGCTGCAATTCACTTCTGAGCAAGATTGAGATAGAGTTCTTGAATTTAGTCCATTGCATATTTGGAATAAGCCAATTATAGTTCGAAAATGGGAGCCAAGGTTGAGGAATTTGGAGTTTAAGATGAACAGGATACCTATTTGGATACATCTTAGTAATGTTCTATTGGAGCTATATACTAAGAAGGGGATAAGCTATATATTCAATGTATTAGGCATTCCACCATACATAGATAAAATTACAGCAAACTTTGAAAGGCTTGCTTATATAAAAATCTATGTGGAAATTGAGATTAATGTGGATATACCAAGGTATGTGGTGCTCCAAGATGGCACACTGGCCTCTGTCTCAGTGGAAGTCCCATGGCAGCCTCCAAAATGCCAGCACTGCAAGGTCTTTGAGCATTTAGACAAATCATGTATGAATAGGCCTGTGGTAGCAGAAGCTAGGGTGTGGTAGCTAAAGGAACCTAAGGATCAGCGAGCTAAGGAAGTGAAGGAGGAGAGTACTCCTGAGAGAGGCAAACAACAAGCTGAATCAACACAGGTAGCAAAGTTAGGATCCACAAACAGATTTGCTATACTAGAAGCAGTGATTGAGGAGGATAAAAGCGTTGATGTGAATCTAAAACTGGCTGTGCTTGAGGCTAGTAAGATGAGGGAGGAGGAAATTATTCCTAATTCACCTAGGAAAGTAACGGTAATAGTTGGAGTTGTAGATTTGATGAAACAGTTGAAGAATAAGAAAAAAGGTCCCATTGATAAAGGGAAAAATAAAAAAGTAAAGGTGGAACACTCTCCTCTAGGAAGTCATTCCTTTTCCCTATTTTCATCATGAATTTGCTTAGCTGGAATGTCAAAGGACTAAACGATCCTCTAAAACAAAGAGAGGTTGTAGGTAGGATCAGAAGAGAAAAAGTAGATGTGGCTTGTTTGTTAGAAACAAGAGTGAAGCAACAAAACATTCAGAAAGTCCTGAACAATAACTCTGCTGGCTGGTCCATTCATCATAACTATCTTACCGCTTTTAATGGAAGAATATGGGTGATATGAAGGGATGAATTAATAATTGATTTAGCAGATACAAATGACCAAAGCATTACATGAAACATTTTACATGGCACTCATAAGCTATACTTCACAACTATATATTGGTGTAATAGTGAGTGAGAAAGAAAAAGACTATGGATGCACTTGATTTCTTTCCAAAGTATTGTAGAAAGCTCACCACGAATGTTGGCTGGAGATTTTAATGTTGTGGCTCACTCTTCGGAGAGTTCAGACTATAATGGCTCTTAAATATCTAGCTGAAGTACAAAAGCTTCTCAAGAATGCTTATAGAAACTGATTGTTCTGGATCATCTTTATATAGGACCTCTTTTTACTTGGAGCAATCGTATACTGTCAAGGAAATTGGATAGAGTGCTAATCAATGATATATGGCTTACGCAGGTACCAAATTTAGAAGTTGAATTCCTCCTCCTTGAAGCATCTGACCATTATCCAACTCTTATAAAGTTGACTACATTGAGATAGTCATGATCAAAATCATTTAAATTCTTCAATTTCTGGGTAAAGCACCCTGAGTTCTTAAAGCTAATGGAGGAATCTTGGATTGTACCAGTGAGTGGTAAACCTATAGTTGTATTGCATAAGAAATTAAAGAGGCTGAAACCAGTGCTAAGAAATTTCAACCTCAAACAATATGAAGATCTTACGGAGAATGGTAAGAATTAAAAGAAAAGAGTTAGCAGGAACACAACTTGCAACATTAATGCAATCACCTATAGCTGATGCAGAGAATAAAGGGAAACTATCATTGGAACTCTTTGAACCATTGAAAGCGGAGGAAAGCTTATGAAGACAGAAGTCAAGAATTAGATGGGTGCTGGCAGCAAGGCAGAGGAGAAGCAATATACGAATACTGTATAATAATGAGGGAAACATGTTGGATGCTTTCTCACAGATATCAGATGAGGCTGTGGAATTTTTTAAGCAGTTGATGAGCACAACTGATGCTACTGTTGAAGGCCGCAAAAAAGAGTTGTTAACTGACTTAGTAGTCGTTTGGATCCTAAGCTCATTGTAACTCCAATTGAATTCAAACACCAACTTCAATTAAATCAAGTCAACAAAATTTTTTTATTAAAAATTTTTTCGACTGTAACTATAGTAACTTTTTTTAAAAATTACAATTATAATAAATTTTATTATTATTTTTAATTTTATTGCAGTTAATTTCACCGTCCATCTAAATAGAGCCTTAGTCATATGCTTGACGGAAGAGCAGTCGGATGCACTGTCACAAAAAGTTACAAGGGAAAAAATTAAAAAAGCTATCTGTGCTCAACGTAGTGATAAAGCGCCAAGCCTTGATGGTTTCAATGCCCATTTCTTCACGTCTACATAGAGTATAATAGGGGAGGATGTCACTATAACTATATCATATTTCTTTCAAATTGAAGACCTGCTTTCAGCTCTATAATAATAGCTTTGGTACCAAAAAGCCCATCTTCAGCTAGCATCTCTGATTATAGGCCAATATCTTATTGTACTGTTATTTATAAGAGTATAACAAGGATATTGGCTACCAGAATGCAATAGTTTTTGCCATCCCTAATTAGCAACAGCCCAAGCGCCTTTATAAAAGGGTAAAGCATAACAGATAATGTACTTATGGTGCAGGAATTGGTGAAAGGTTAGAGTAGAGTTCCCATGTCCCCAAGATGTGCTATTAAAAATGATTTAAAGAAAGCATTCGATTCTTTAAATTGAAAATTTTTAATCTCAGTTCTAGAGGCAATGGGATTTCCAAGAAGGTTCATTGGTTGGATAAAAAGCTATCTCACTTCACCAATGTTCTCTTTGTCAATCAAGGAGGCTTGGTGGGATATTTTAAGGGGGCAAAAAGAATAAGGCAGGGGATCCTATGTCACCATACTTATTTGTTATTGCTATTAATGTTTTGGTTAGGTTATTGGATAATGCAGCATCCTATGGCATTTTTTCTTACCATCCCAAATGTAAGAAAGTGAACTTAACACACTTACGTTTTGTCGATGATCTCTTTATCTTCACAAAAGGGAAGCTGGATTCTATTGATGGAATTCAAGTCATACTAAAACAATTTTATACTTATTCTGGTCTACAACTAAATAGTGCCAAGAGTGAACTATTTTGTATAAGGATTCTAAGAACTGAGCTTAAAGAAATCCTAAAAGTCACAGGGTTTAAAAGGGGAAAACTTTCTGTTAGATATCTTGGGGTTCTACTGGTGTCGCAAAGGCTTACTCTAACAGATTGTATGTCATTAATTGAGAGGATCACATCAAGAATTCATAACTAGGCAGCAAGACGTTTGTCCTAGGCAAATAGACCATAGTTGATCCAATCTGTCTTTTTTAGTATTCATAACTATTGGTGCAAGCATTTTGTTCTTCCAAAAAAGGATAATCAAGAGGATCAACCAGCTCTGTTCAGCATTTTTTTTGGAAAGGCCAATCAAGCACAACAAAGGGAAACTGAGAAAGATGGCAGACAATATGTAAACCAAAGTCAGAAAGAGGGTTGGGATTAAGAGATGTTGGTGCGTGGAACAAAGCCTACATGCTTAGGCTTTTATGGTCTATCTTTACACAAGTAAGCTTGTTATGGATTGGTTGGATACACATATATGAGATAAAAGGAAGAAGCATTTGGGAAATTCCAAAAACTCAAAGTCATTGCTGGTGTATGAGAAAGCTACTTCAAATGATAAGTCTTACAAGTAGATTACTGACACAAATAGAAACTGAAATAGTTTGGAATAATAAAGGTTCTAACTACTCGACTGCAAATGTGTGGGAAGAAATAAGAGAGGCAAATGAAAGTATACTGTTATAGGCTTGTGTCGTGTAAATTTCACATACCGAAGTATGCTATAATTACCTGGATGACTATCCTTGATAGGCTTCGAAAGAAAGATCGACTAGTTTCTTGGGGAATTCATATTGATTGGGACTATGAACTCTGTAAGCAAAAGAAGAAAAGCAGGGACCACATTTTTTTAGTTGTAGATACTCCAAAAGAGTATGGCAGCAGGTACTGCACTTACGTAATTTATAGAGAGAAGCTGAGGGAAGGGAAAATGAGCTTCAGTGGGCCGTTAGTAGGCTACAAGGGAAGCTTTGGTCTCAATCATACTACGACTGGTGTGGGGGAGTACATATACTAGATTTGAGCAAAAAAAATACACAAATATACAAGTCAATGGAGCTCACAGGGAGCAAATATTGAGTAAAATCAAGGACGTAGTTAGATTATAATTGATTGGTCTAAAAAATATAGCTTATGATCATGTTAACCATGGACTATGTGAGAGATGAGAGTTGAGTAGGGACTCATTTGTGGTGTAAAAGTTCGATAGTATGTACTTGTTGTTTGGTAGTAGTTCTACTACTTCTGGATACTGAATAAAAATTACTTATCCAAAAAAAACCATTTTTTTCAAAATCGTCCTAGAAAATGGGCTACTTTGCCTCCAAACTCGGCAAGTCCACCGTTGATATGATGATATCTACCGTCCGCAGCCATCAAGCTTTGTGATCTTCGACATTAACGCCATAGATGAACCCTAGGTTAAAGTGGAGCAAGCCCCGCAAGAGAACCAAGAGAGGCCCACGCACGTGCCGGTTGTGATTCTTGAGAAGCTCAACACCTTCGAAACTGATGTTCCTCACTCTTGGGACGAGGTTAGCAAGGCCTTAGCAGATCTCAAGCCAACCATTAACAATAACAACAAAGATAACAAGAAACTTCAAGCTCCCACGTTGCCTCCAAAACCAGCAAAACAAGTTAACAAGCAACAGCCACGTAAGAGCTCAACTTTCCATACCTTGGAAGAATTCGACGCAAAAATGTCTTCAAAATCGGCTGCAAACGAGTTAAGAAAAACTGAGTCAATGAGAAATGAGATGAAAACGAAAATCACCGAGTTAAAAAACCGAGGGCCCCGAGTATCAGATCAGTCAGTAGGGTTCAAGTCAGTAAAAGAGAATATATTCATAGTAAGGGACAGGCAAGAGAGGGAAAAAGAAGGAAGGATAACTAGTTACGATCAGTTAATGAGCAAACGAGACCCATTAAGTGAGTTCCTAAAGATATGTCCACCACGCGAGGCCGACTTGGTGGTCATTTACACGACGTCGTTGAGAGGTGTTCGATGTACGTTCGAGGATTGCACCAAGATCCGAAGGATATTTGAAGGGCAGCACGTGGCGTTTTATGAGAGAGACGTGTTATTGCATGGGGAGTTCCTGAACGAGTTAAGAAGCTTATTAGGGGAAGAAGCGAACGTGCCGAGGGTGTTCGTGAAGCGAAGATACCTAGGGGTAGCTGAGGAGATGAGTGAGCCGAAGGAGTCGGGCGAGAAAATTGGAGAAGATACTGAGTGTGGCGTGTGCGGAGACGGGTGGGGAGACAAGCTTGTGAAAGGTGCAAGGCAGCAAGGTTTGTGCCGTGTTTGGAGTGTAGAGGAAGTTGTAAAGTGATGGTTAATGAAGATAAAAAGAAGAGGCGTAATAGTAAGTATAGGGTATAATCGCCTCGTCGAGATGATATAATAAAAAATTTGATTTTGATTTTTAACTTGTGATTTGATATTTAATTTGAATTTGATCAAATTTTATTTTTTTAATTTAAATTCATTTCGTGATCGAAATTAAATTACTCGAACTCACTTAAATAAGTTAATTTATCAGTAAAAATAAATCTGATTCCATAATCAATTTAAAACTCTACTATTGATACTTAAATTCAAGCTCGAATTAAGGTTTTTCAATATAAATATTTTATATCAATTAAATTTGATATATTTTTAAATAATATCATAAAAATAAATAAATAACCTAATATAACAATCAATCCAATTTGAATATGCAAATGAAAAATAAAATGACAAAATTCAAAGCAGCCGTAAGCATAACCCATAAAGCAATCAACTTCCATTCAGATTATAGTCAAATAAACCGTTATCCAAGTCAACATTAGAACTACAAGCCTTATTTCCAAACAAGAAAAAAAAAAAAGAAAACTAAAGATCTTAGCTGAATTTAAAATGAAAAAAAAAAATCACTTTTCAAAAAATAAAAATAAAAATAAAAATGAAATAAAACCCTATTTTTATAAGAACAAACAAAAAGAAATTTCTCACATTTCACAGATACAACGTGTAGGCAGCTTCAAAATCAACTCATGCCTCACATATTGGAATAATTACAACAAACAAATAGCAAACAATGGAATCCTTCCTCAGCGAGCGTGCTTGTGTCAACCATGAACTTTTGGTTCACTGACTTTGCCAGTTGCCAAACTTACCTGTCGCTGCTGCTTGCAGCTTCCACTCCTTGCCGCTGTCAGCCATGATGCCGGTGTGCTCAGTCTTGACTTGAGGGAGCTTTGCTGCTGCTTGAGTTCCAGAGAACTTCTCTAATGTTGTGGGAAAAGAAGGGGGTGTCGTTGTTGGGTCTAGGGATTTGTAATATATAGTCGACAAGAAGGTAAGGAAACTTTGTTGATGGAGGCAAAGGGTAGGAAGCGGTGGCTGTTGGTGTTGGTATGGGATCGGGAGAGTGATGTAGGGGGCACCGTTTATATGGGGAAAGGTGGGAAGCAAACGAGTGTTGTGTTAAAAGACTAGGGATTTAAGGTTTTTAAGTATGTGTATATATTTAAGGGTAAAAAATAAATTAGTAATAATATATTAAAAGTAAAATGTTTGATTAAGGTTGTAAGTGACTTGAATTGAATATTAAATATTTAAATTTAATTTATTTGAACTTGAATTCTGTAATTTGATAATAATTAAATTTAATTTAATTTTTTTTAAAATTAAATTTAAATAATTTATAAATATATATATATATCTATCTCATTTACACTTGTAATGAAAATCGGTTCGTTCATTGTCCAACTTATCTTGAGTTCTTTAAATATTGTGGCAAAATGTAAAAAGCATGTGTCTTTTTTTTTTTTTTTTTGTTAATAGTTTGTGGATTATGTGAGAAGGTTTAGATTTAAAACTTGAAAGACAAGTGGGAAAAGCAGAGGAAGAAATTTCAAATGTTTAGCTTGTAATATTTATAAGGATTTATATTTGGTATATAAATTTTGTATATTATTAATGAATTAAATTATTTTATTAATAAGTGAATTAGATGTATTATTTTATTAATGAGTAAATTTTTTAAAAATATTAATTTTATAAGTTTTTAAAAATATTAATTTTTATATATCTATTTTAAAAATTGATATTTATTTATTAATAAAATGATATTTTTTTAATTTATTGATAACATATAAAATTTATATGTTGAAAATACATTAAATATAAAATTTTTATAATATAATAGACTTGAGATGAGGTTGCTTGTTCTAATAAGGTGATTATAGCTTTCTTTCCTCTTGTGCTTTTGCTCTTTAAAAAAAATGAAATGTGATTATAAATGATAATGTTTGATAATTGTTCGTTTTTGTATAGATTATTTTGAGAAGTTATTAATTAATAAAGGAAAAAAATTGGTAGGCTATAACTTTGTTAAAAAGACATGCTAATTAGGTCATAAAACCATATATAATTATGGTTGGATGATTGATAAACTGATTATCTTCGTTTTTAAGCTTTATACTTGAAAAGAAATGTATCGATAAAATATTAAATTTTAAATTTCAGTAATCAATTTCAAATATAAAATAATTAAAATGTTGGCCGGCTATTACCAAGATTTCTAGAAGCTAAGAACTTGTCTTCCACCTCTAAATATTTTTTTCATCTAAAATTGTCGATTTCAATTTTGTTTTAAAAGTAATTCGATTGCTACACTATCTATCTAATGACGTCCTTAGATCCTGAATTCCTGAGGCTGATAAACTCCGTATGAAATAATCAAACATTGAACAAGAAAAGGTCTAGTATAAAATCAAAGAGGGCAACTTTGGATAGTCAACATCTCTCCAGTAACAATTTGGCAAAAAAGTATTACCAACTTTTGTTGAAGGAGTCATCTGATGGTTGCAGTAGGTAAAACTTTTGTTGAGATAGATAGAGCAGCTTCCAGGGTCTTGATTTTGCGAGTTGTTCCTTCTACGGTGATAGCCTCCTAACCATCCATCAGATGAATTTTTTATCCGCTTGGGCGGTGATACACAAGTTTTTGATTGGGTTATTCCTTATTCAAAATAATCACCCATTCCCCACCACTCATCAGCTTAGCTAGCTTTTTAGAGGGAAGCTACTCGAGTTCGTGGGCCAATAGAAAGTGGAGCATGTTTAAACCAAATCATGTGAACTAGGCTGTTCATATAATTCAAATTCATTAACTTTTTCCCATCCAGATTAACAGTCCTATCTTATCGTAGATTTAGTTAAATTGTTGAAGTCAAATTTGTATTTTACTTACATATTTATTAGGCAAACCAGTCTGAAAGAATCATGTTATCTAAAAGAAACGCCATCATTAGAGAAACATCAAACGTCCACTGATTTTCTCATTTTCGGGGATTAAAACTTCTCCATATGGCTAATGTACGTCCGTAAAATCAATCCTTTTCCAGGAACTTTAAGCGAAGTCATTCAAATCATTCATTATTTCCCAAGCTCTTATATGCCATATTAGAACTTGTAGGAAACATAGTGCTCACTGCCCAAACAAGCAAGCAAATGGGGAAAAGAAAATATAATTGTAGTTTTAGATTATTCATGGCACCAAACTGCAAATAAAACTCAAACTAAATTATAGTATATAAAAACATCACAAATAAAGATGATGTTTATCATTAGTTTTAAGTATTATTTATGGATAAGCCACACCAAATAAGAAAAAAAAAAAAAAAAAGAGGGCAACCATAGCTAGCTTGTGAAGAAAAAGTTTTACATCTCACAGGCTGTGTGGATCTCTGCATTCAATTCAACCCCCAGGATATTGTCTTAAATTCCCAATATACTATCTGTGTCTAGTTATTCTTCAAATCTTCTCTTCATAATTTTTGTGTATTTGTATCTGTACGCGTTTGTAGAAGAATATTGCTCAAGGACTGGTCAGCAAATATATCCAATAGGGAGAGTGCCTGCAAATTTTATTTTTAACAGGAGAAAGATCAGAACCGCATAGGCCAGGTAGGAAATTTTCTTGGTTAGCATCACATGCTTGTCGTGTGAAATTTTACCTCTGGGACATTCAGTTCAAGGCGGAATTTTGGACCATCATAGTGGTGGAGAATTGGCCTAAAGGAGTCCTCTTCAAGTGGTTCACAGATTTTCCTTGTAATAACCTGAACCTGCAGAGGAACAAAAACATTAGTACTGCTTTTTTCTTTTTGTTTGCTTGAAAGATATTGAAAGCATCATTTTCAGAAAAAAAAAAAAACAACCATATTGTTTTTCATAACAAATAATTTATTCCTTAACAAATACCTGAGCAGGGAATCGAGATTCGCCAGGGCATTTCTTGTCCTCCCAGGCTGTTGGATCAATGTTTGTTCCTCCAAAGCTAGCAGCCTAAATAGAAGATCATTAAAACATCGTCAGAAGCGCAGTGAAGAACAAATCACAGGTAAGAAAGCGCCCCTTTTAACGGAACTATAAAACTATAAACCACCCTAAAGTGAAACTAATGTTCTGTCCACAGTCATATTTACGTGTGCACTTGTAAAATTCACAAGTTGTAGAAGTCCATGGTTGTCCTTAAACGACTTAAAAAAAGTTATGACTTTATCAAATCCTTGGATTGGGTGGAAATCGAACTAATCAAATGTTAACAGATAATCAGAAAGTAGTTAAAAAAGGGTAATAGGAGAAAACAGAAATACAAACCTCAAATACTCCATGGAGTTGGTGGGTGGAGTAGTTGTAGAGGAAAAGAGGCAGGCCAGGCGTTATCGCCCTGACTGAATCTCGGTAACGTGGAGGCAAACCTACAAATAATGCATAACAACAATTTAGGAATATAAATCAACATAAATATTACATCAAAAATTCCATAAAATTTTAACTTAACCAAATTGTTTCATTAATCTAACTGATTTACTTTCAATTTCTAGAGCAGGGATTAGTATTGGCATAATCATCTCCAAAAAATAATAGAAAATCAAGATTCAAAACCAAATTAAACCCAGACTATTTTTCTTTCCAATAAAAAAAATAGTAAGGAAGAGAAAGTGAGCGAATGACATACCGAAGAGCTGTCTCCTGAGATTCTCCTGCATGGTATCGTTGTTGCAAACAAAGATGTAACCGCCAACAGTTTCATTCCTAGGCAAAGACTCAGATGGTGGCAGTGTCTTAAACCTCTTGTCAACAACATTCTTCCCATCCTTATTTTCATTGTTATTATTGTCGCTGTTATTGTTATTGTTCTTCTTGTTACTATTCTTCTTCCCACTTTTGCTTCCGTGATCATCCTCTCCTTTATTCTTATTCCCCTTCAAATTAAAATTAAAATTATTGTTATTCGCTGGCTTTGAATAAACCCCTTTGTTGAATCCTCCGTTGATTCCAACATTCATCTGAGACCCCATCGGACCAATTGGACCGAACCCGATGTTGCTGTTGATACTGGCTCCAATTTTCCATCCATCATTGTTGAAAGAATTGAAATCAGAGACCTTTGGCTTCAAGTTGTTAACAGAATTCAATTCACCACCGACTCTGATATCAAAATTCCTCCTTTCATCAGGCCTCTTTGTAACAAAATTGTTGCTCCATATCGAATCGTTGAGAGAAAGATTAGCCAAGTTCGAATTTTGGACCCTAAGTTGATCACTGAATTGCCAAAAGGATTGCTGATTGTTCTCCATCGTCAACTCCAATTCCCTTTCAAAACCTTCAAAAAAACAAAAAACTGGGATATGGGTATCAAAGATGAGATAATTCCACTCTCTGTGTAGTAAAAATATATAGAGTTTTATCTATGTTTGTATAAAATAGTATGGTATCTAAGGTGGTATGGAAGCAGGGGAAAAGAAAACAGAGGCAAAAACAGGGGAAGTGAAAGCAAAAGAAATGTAGTTGATGAGAGACAAGTGGGTGAAGGGGGGTGTTTTAAATAAGGGAAATGAGAAATTTCGTGGAAAGTGAGCTGAGGTGGGATATTAAGATAGCGTGTGACTTTGTCAAAGTGGAAAGTTACATGATAGTGAAATACAGGTAACTAAAAATTCTCAAATTTATCCCATATATTTAAAATGAATAATATAATCCTGATAAAAGATGACTAATATAATAAGTAAAAATAATTATAATTTTACAGAAATAAAATTTAAATTTGGGTACATATAATCTTTTAACTTATTTAAATTATTTTTTATAAAAATAATATTTTATGTATATAATAATAATTTTTTAATTTTAATTTGTCTCTTTTCATGTTCTTTTTACAATAGGATAAAATTTTCTTCCAATTTTTTATTTTGTCAAAATTTTTTTGTATGTGTGAATACGAGAGTGATGCCTGCAAAAAACGCGGTTTGACGTGACAGAAGAGGGGGGCGAGCTGACCGAGGAGGGAAGGGCTTCTAGAAAGTCTTCTGGGAGGCTCTTTGATGGTGTCCTTTTTTTATTTTTATTTTTTTTAATTTGAGTTCACGTTTGATTTGACTTGAGAAGTGCCTTTGCTTAGATGTTAAGGCTTGAAAAAGGCGTTTTTCATTGACAAAGAGACGCGTTGCTCTAAACACTGTTTGGTTTGTGAAGGTTATTCTGGGGGGTGGGAAACTCACACATCTGTCGACATTTCTCTAAACGTGGGGAAAGATTTGTGGGCCTACCTAGGGATTGGATGCCCCATTTTGAGAAAAATTGATTTTGCAACTTGAATTTTTTTTTCTTTTTCTCACTTTCAATTCAAGTTCAAGCATCCAACCCTTTACGTAGAGCTCGGGAGTAACAGCAGAGTTAGTGTTTGTCAAGATTGATTGATTTATTAATGCATGAGGAATTTACACCAAGAAATTGTAAATACTAATCCAAAATGATTGTGTAATAATCTGGACATACTAAAAAAAAAAAAATTCAACATACTTATTTAAATGATTATGATTAATATGCGAAAGTAAAATAATTTCTTAAGTGATTAGGTTTTTTTTTTAACTCTTTTTTTTTTTGGTGATACTTAACGGGTAATAATCGTAATTTTTAGAAGTAAGAGAATTTTAATCTATTTTATTAAAATTTTATAAATCACTTTATCAAAAATTTATTAGACTAAAAGCCTAAATAACCGTCAAATCATATTGATTTAGTACAAAATGCAAAGTCCACACTTAAGTGATTACGTTAATTTATTTGAATTCTCACGTTTGTCTCGTATTAAGATTAATCTCATTAGTCAGATTTATTAAATTATTAAAATAATTAATTAATAATAATCCACTTATAAAAAATTCTTTTTTTTACTTAAGCAATATTAATTAGGTTATTTAATTTAAAAAATTTTATTTAAAAAATAAGACTTCAGGTTGATTTACTTTACTTTGATGTGGATATAATTTAAAAATAATTTAGTCCTTTTAGACAACATCTTAATGATATTGTTCAATAAAATCATATAATATGAATTATGACAACCTTTATGTCCCTTATTGACATAAAAATCAATCCATAGTTACAAATACTGGTGACGTTATTGAAAATAGATCTGTGTTACATGTAGTAAGAAATTAACACTTAAATGTTATCTCAATGTGTTATTTTTATTGTCAATCATCTTGTTGATTTCTCTAAACTTGTTGAGAAATCTCCATAATGTCCAGATGTGCTTATATGTCTCTTCAATATCCTTGAGATTGCTTAATGGTGTCATATATGAAGCATACCCAAGTGAAAAAATAGTTATACTTAAGACAAATACTAAGTTTTAAGATTTCACAATGCATATAACAAACTTTAAATTTTCAGATGTACATTTATTAACAAAATAAAATAATATAATATAAAATATCAACCAACGATAATCATCATTCAAGCATGGAATCAAATATCACATAGATATTTCAAACATAAAAAGAAATGGTCCAACATAAAGACAAACCAAGATGTGTGAGTATAAAATAAAAATAATATACTCACACTAATGAATTACATAAAAAAAAAAACACCAAAATACCCATGCTTTCAATATGTTTATCAAACACTATAGATCTCAATCCTTTAGTCAGAGGATCATCAATCATGTTGTCAATCTCAATGTGTTTGACAACAATCTCAACAATTTGTATACCCTACTATCTTTCTCTATTAAGATTAAGTTTATTACTTTTCACAATAAGTGTATCTACAGCCTTACAATTCTGCATATTAAATTTACTAAACACATGATTAATGTAAGACTTCTACGATAGTCCCAATAAATTTGAAGACTCATCTTTATGAATTTCAATCCCAAGATAAAAAAAAAAAAATCCCTAAGATCATTTATATCAAAAGTCTCGAATAATAACTACTTAGTTTCATGTAATAAACCAATATTATTACAAGCCAATTAGATATCATCCACATATAAAATGAAGAAAGATAAACTTATTCCCACTAATTTTAAGTTATATGCATTGGTCAACTTTATTTTTCTCAAAATCCAAGAAAGTAACTATCTCATCAAATTTCATATACCATTGCTTAGAAGTTTGCTTAAAGTCATGGATTGATTTTTTAACCCGACATACTCAATGCTCTTTTTCAAATTCCTAAAATCCCTTAAGTTGTACCATGTAAACCTTTTTTCTAAGATCACCATTAAGAAATGTCATCTTCACATCCATTTATAGGCACCTAATTTTATCCAGTCAATTTAAGCTTGTTCGATTCTCACTCATGATTTGAACATTTTGATTGGGCTTATTTAGACTTTGGTCCAAATTACTCATTTTTTGGATTTTTATGGGCCAAAACCCAGTCCAATTTAGTTTTGACCAATTTGAAATTAGGCCATATGGATTTGAAAACCCAAAGTCCAAGATTGAATTTAAAGCCCAAATTTTGAAAATTTAACATTTGATTTTAAAGCCTAAATTTATTTATTTTTTTATATTTAATTTTTTTTATTAATTGCTAAATTACAACAAAAAATAAAAAAAAAACAAAAGCGAAAAAACCTGAAGCTAGTTTGCCATGGCAACCAGCTTTCCCTCATCTCAATTTTATAAACTATTTTTAGCTTTTCCATTTTAACCTCTATTTTTTACCTTTTGACCTCTTTTTATACGAATTGATCAACATCTCAATGCCCCAAAAAAATTTAAGTATAAAGCAAATCACTGCCACTTACAAGAAAAGCCCCAAATCTTCAATTTATTATAAGCTTTTGCTAGTAGTTTCTTGATAAAAAAAATAGGGCTTAAGAACCAGAAAAGGGGAGCACCATTTTTTTTGCACTCATAATCCCTAACCTTCAACACATAGTAAGACAATAGCACCATTCCACAACTGTACCCAGAACCATCACCAATTCTAACCACCTACTATTTGACCACCATTTTTCCAGCCCTAATATCCTTCCAAGAAAATACCTTACCAACCAAAATCCAATTTCAACAATACCCTTAGCCAATAGCCACACACACCTCCTCTACCAACCTATGCCACCATTGCCCTTAGCCTGTCATCCATCACCAATGCCAGCCTCCATCATCAGACCCATAAACCATCTAACAATGTTGACTAAAAACAACCACAAGCCTACCAAAAAAGAAAAGAAACAACCAAACACCCACTCATAAAAAAAAACCAAAAAATTCCTCTTTTATTAAAGCAAAAAATGACACTAAAAAAAATACAACAATCAGATAAACCATAGTCTTCACCAATCTGGTGAGAAACCTAGTAGTAATAAACAAAAAAAAAAAAAAAACCAAGAGTTTCGATTGATGAGAGATTTTGGGCGAAGCTTTGGGTCTTGGTTGAAAAAAATGGAGAATTGAGAGAGAAAAATACGGTTAGAAGCCACAACAACAGTGGTAGCACAAAGTGGGATGATGATGGTAATTCGAGGTGGTTCATGATGATAACTTTTTCTGCAGATCTAAAACAATGGAAATGGAGATAAAAAATTGGGTAATGACACACTAGGATTGCAGAAGGATCAGACGTTAGGATGTACTATTTTGATAGTTGGAAATTTTGGGTTGGAAGCTTAGATCAAGGATTGTTGAGGGTGATTTAAGAAAATTCAAACTTAAAACGTGAAAGATGGGGTTAAAAAGAGTTTGGGGCTATTTTATAAAAGAGAAAGGATGTCTATTGATGGTGATGTCGGCTACGGGATCTGTGGTTGGCTACCATTTTTTGGGTTTAGTGGTCAGTTATTTGGTTTTTTTTTTTTTTTTGAATTGAAGATAAAGTTTTTTAGAGAACAGAAAGATGGAATGATTAATAAAATTTTTTAGGACTTTATAGTAAAACAAAAAACAAAAAAAAAAAAACTAAGTAAGTCGAATGGACCCGAATTCGACCTGGACATGACCAAACCCAACCATATTTGGACCTAATCGACCCAACCAGTGACCCAACTTCTCTACACCTAACCTGCTTACTTGATTTAGCCCATTTGTTCAATCCAAGCTTGTTCCAAATCCACTAAATTAGATTTCTTTTTTGTTTTGGATCATATTGGGTTTAAGTCTAAAAGACTCTATTTTAGGTATATTTTTTTCTCTCATTATATTTGTTATGTTATCGTATGTATTTTATTTAATGTTGTACACTATTAAAAGTAAACTTGGTTGTGGATGATTAAGATTGATAAAAAAAATTTTGTATAAATTCTTACATAGAAATAAATTGAACTAATTTTGTAATTTTAAAATGTATTTTGAAAAGGAAACTTTAGGAATAAAATAGAACAATATTTATAGGAAAAAATAATATTGGAAACCCTATCTAGAAGGAGTTCAATATCATATTTTAAAAATTTAATTCCGTTTAGATGTTAGAGAATTAAAGAATTAAAAAATAATAATTAAGTTAAGTTAAAATTAAAATAAAATTTAAAATATAAAGTAAAAATTTTCACAAGTAAATTAAATAATAAAT